CTTTGCACTTAATAGTTTTATATTTAGTAAGAGGAAAATGTTGTAGCTTGTTATATTTTTGTCTCTGTGTTTTAATCCACTGTTCCTGTGAACCAGGAACCCTCATCGTGCTGAAGAGTCCGTACCCATGGCGTGTGGAGGAGCCGTCCATCTACGAGTCAGTACGAGTTCACACAGCGATACAGACGGGACGCACAGAGAACGACCTGGTGCTGAATGCACCATCGGTATGACACCCTGCTGCATACACCCATTAGCAGCTGATGCTAAAACAATCACCTTTGTTTACAAGTCAAGCTTAAATTGTATAATTGTATAATTACAACATGGGTTTTTTATGATTTTGACCATCATCTCTGACAGTTATGAAAACAGTTTACTAACTGAATTATTTAACTTCAGAGTGACTGTGTGAGGAAAACGTTGTAGCCATGATGACACTTTGAAGCCTTGATTTTAGCACTTTGACCTTCAGGATCTTGGTTTCTTGAAGCGACTTCTGAAGATGATTTTAGTGTGACTAAAATATAATCTTAATTTTAACTGAAAGTATAATAGATAAATGTATATTTATTTTCCTGACACAAAGCCTGTTTGTTTCCAGCTGGGCACAAAGGAAGGCTATCTGGTGAAACAGGGAGCATTAGTGAAGGTAAGAAGGGAGTTACACCTCACACATATCAGCTGTTAATTAAAATATTACCTGTTTATGACTCATATAGTTTAGTGTTTGAACTCTGAGATAAAATTTAAAATACCTGCACTTTTAAAACCTTTTCTTTATGCAGAACTGGAAGCAGAGGTGGTTCATACTAAGCAGATATGAACTGAAATACTTTAAAGACAAAATGGTGAGTGTGCGTTCAGCTTGTGGGCTTGTGCTGCGATCTTTGATTTAAACTACACAAATCGAGCAGTTGTAATCACTTTTTCTAGTTTCAGCTTCTTCTAGTCACAGCTCTGAGCTCTTCCTCTGTAAGCTGACGAGTGTTTCTGTTTCAGTGTGAGGAGCCCATCCGGACTCTGGACCTGAGAGCCTGCTCCGCAATCCAGTTTGACTACTCTCAGGACAGAGTCAACTGTTTCTGGTGAGTGTGGAACAGCATTTTTGTGGTCATGAGAAATGCTTGAGTTGAAACAGTCCGTTGTTAGAAATTGTCAAAAGAAGATGTGTATGTCAGGAAGGCTCACTTGCTCCATCTCAGCTACTCAAATAGTTTCCCTAAAATAAGATGAGGAGAGCGGAGGCTCTACTATGGTTTAGTGCTGGTGCTCAAGGTCGACATCTACTGGATCAAAAAGTCGCACATTCTTCCTTTAAAATGAATAATAATGATAATGGATGCAAGGCTGATTTAAACAGTTTGAGCTTCACAAAACTGTAAATCTTTTTCTTTATCTGACACTTAATGGACTGAATGTCCATTGTAATCTTTACAATAACCAACAGAATGAGTCATTATGAACCTAATAACTCTTACATGTTAGAAATAAAGAATTATACCAACAAAATCGCTGAAAAATAAATGGAAAATGGAACATATGATATTATAAGGCTATATAATGTGCACTATTGACATGATGTCGAGTGATAAAAAGCTGATATATGAAATATGTATGAGACAACAGGAAAACACCAATTTGTGTCAGAGCTCTCACAATGCCGCAGTCAGACGCCACAGTGGGTGATTTTTGTTGCTGCTGTACTTCCTCATGGCAGCAAAATGTGACATTTGTGATTTTTGAAAAGAAGAAGTCATAACGGTAAAACAGCCGCAGGAAACAGGAGGTAAGGTGAAGTCACGACGAGCTGAAAAGAGGCAGAGGCTTAAAAATATGAGGTTACGACCACAGATAAACCTTTCACCTTTTACACCGTGCCATAAAGAAATGCAGCACAGCTGATTATCAGGATAACAGAAAGAGATTAATTTTATGTTCAATCTCCTTCTCCATTATTCTTTTTAACCAGAATGTCTTTGTAAGTTGTGCTGTTTTATTTCTCCTGGGGTCAATGTCAGATGAATAAATTCTATGAATGAAGCATGAAATTAAAGAGCAAAACTACTTTATAGTCTCTAAGTATTCTGTTTAAACACATATTTTATGGCTCTGGTCTGGTTGACCTTCCTCTAATATTTCAAGTTAAGTGCCCGAAAGTCAAAATTTGGTCGACTGAATTGAGCTCTGAGTTTGGCATTTTGCCCATCACGCGCTTTGTTTTTTTTAATCGACTGCATTTGAAGGACAGGGAGGAAACACATTGCTAATGTCTATTCTGGATACAGGAAGACACAACCTTAAGTCCTCCTTGTTTTATTATTATGTGCTTTTACTCTTAATGGGAAAATAATTAGCAAAATAAAAAAATCATAAAGAACAAATGAAACGAGAGACTGAGTCCATCAACTCGTTAGGAAAATGAGGGAATGGACTCATTTCAGGCCGACTTTTATTAAATGACAAATCTACTTACAGTATATAGCGCTTTAGTCTTTTGACCTCTTTGAGATCCCTTCATGTCACATTCACCCTTTTTCACACACACATCAAATCCATTCACACAAACTCACACACACACATCTGGTTTTTCCACCTGGAACAATTTGGGGTCAGTGTCTTGCCAAGGGCACTCCGATACGTGACTATGAGTGGAAATCAAACTACCTTCCAATAAAAGAAGACCAATACTTCTACAGAGCAGACTGCTGAACGATCGAATGTCTGAGTTGTTGTGGGTTTAGAGTTTGCACTGTCACATCTTTCATGTGTTAAAGATGCGCAGATCTTCCTTCCTGTCTCTAACGCTCCATATCTCTCTGCGTTCACAGTCTGGTGTTTCCTGAGAGAACGTTTTATCTGTGTGCAAAGACGGGGGTGGAAGCAGATGAGTGGATCAAGATCCTGAAGTGGAAACTGGTGAGTTAGCTGATTAACATGTGCTGAGAGAAGGAAGGATATGTAAAGAAGAAGACGCGGCAGGTTGAGGGGAAGTTTATTGTTTCAACACTTGACGAGTCAGTAATCCCGACAGTGTAACTCATCTGTACCAGCGTCTGAGGGAGGATTTTATTAAGCAATAAAGAACTTTAAAGGGAGGTAAATGTCATCAGGATTGGCTAATATTACCCGCCGACGACAAACGGAAACAAGAAAACTTCACAGATTCCATATAGAGATAAAGAACTAACAAACTTGTAATCAAAAAGTTTATCTCACTGTGACTATGTTCTCAGTAACTCTCTCTTTGTTTCCAGTCACAGATCAGAAAAGGCCGATGACTGCTGGTGATGTAAAGAAGCCCCGCCTTTTTCTTGGACGTCACAGCGGCTGGACGGACAGTCATGAAACAGCAGCGTTCAGATGCTGAAGAGTGAACTCGGAGCAGGAATAATAAGGGGACATATTTCTCTGAGTGTGCTGACCAGAGGCTGACAGCTGGGACGAGGCTCCACTTTGCTTTGTAACATATTCCTCTAAAGCCCCCCTGTGGACAAGTGTGGAGAATTAGCATGTGTGCTAACACACAACAATGCATCTGGTGCGTCCAATGTGATTGTGATGTTCATGTCCAATAAAAATGAATCTATTGAGTACGAAGAGGCTTTGTAATCTAAAGAGTCTCATGAAGCTGATCACTGTAGTTTTTAGTAAATTTGATTCAAACAGAAAAATGTCCATTTGTTGCTGAATTTAGTTTTTGACTTTTAATCCTTTTCTAACCCTTTTTTACCAGCGGTGTCAAACTAGAAATCTTATAAAGTGATGTCACTAGGGGCTCAAATATTTTTGCTTTTGAACCATGCGTTTGAGTAGAAAACCTGCTGCGTTGTGAACGTTAACGTCACATAGGAACAACGCGTGTTACTGGAGGATTCCTCTAGAGGGAGCAGCACATTAATCAGGCAGAGTAAAACACTGAAGTAGACATAATCAGACGCCTGCTATATATAAAGAAGTCATTTTTTGTTTCCTCTATTTTGGCACGCATGTTTGTTGCTATGCAACGGCAATGACACATCATAGTGTGGGCAGTTGAGGACTTGATCTGTTAACTTTTCTTCAAAACTTCCCTCGATCGTTGTAGCGGCTCTCTGGTGTCTCTGAAGTTGTCTCACCACCATTAAACTCCACACTGCTCCTTGTGGTTATATGCATATATCCAAACCACTGCGGGATATGGGGATATGCCAGGCTGAGGTTAAAAGCAAGTTCACTCAGGGCTTAAAGTGCACGTTGTCTTTGCTATCTCTGTCTGATTCTCAATACAACATGTGTGTAAAGTTAATATAGAAATATTATTATGACGAGCTTAATTTAAAAAAGACAGACACACACACACACACACACACACACACACACACACACACACACACACACACACACACACACACACACACACACACACACACACACACACACACACACACACACACACACACACACACACACACACACACACACACCTCTAGTATGCATGTAGCTAAGGTCACTGGAGTTCTGTTAGGTCAAAGCGGGGTCAAGAGCCAAAAAAGGTTGGGAACCGATGCTCTAGAGCTAACCCAACTCCAACACCAGGACCAATAAGGCTCAATGAAGGAACTTTGTTACAGTGCTGTTGTGAAACGCAACATGTAAAAGGATTTATTTTTTAACTTGGCCCCTTGAAAACAGATTTAATACGCCTGCACTAGACTGTCCTCACTTTCACTTCTCCTGTTACTGTTAGTTAACTTCTCTAACCTGTATGGCTGCTTTTCTGTATTGCTTTTATACAACCGACAAAATGTGAACAGCTGCTCTTAGCCCGCTCTTTTCTGTTCGCCACTCTTTTCTGTTCGTCTCCCTGTTATGTACTGTTTATAATTTCATCCCATGGAAAAACATCATCACAAAAGATTGACTGGATTGAGTCCAAAAATCTGTATCAAGAAATTGACCAACACTGTAAAAGTACACTATCAAAAGATAAACAGAATAAAAAAAGGGGGGAAACAGCATTAGGTGCTAAACATGATACATTTATTCAGACTTGTGGACATTTGATTGGACACAAACTCTGCCTCAGCTGTGGAAACGCTCATGAAGAGAACTAACACTCCACAGAAATGAGCCGAAAAGAAAGTCAACAGAAGAAAAAAAAAAAAAAGAATACTGGAAGATTCAATCATGATGTGTACAGTTCAAACGATATCCATTACTTGGAGTTGTACACAGGTTTCCCCACGTGACTTGAATGCACCGTCAGAGACAGAGAGATTAAGGGAGCTGGGTGTGATCCGGATGTTTCCGCTGTGGATCGGGATCAGGGGGTCGGGCAGAGTTTATGTCACCTCCACCACCTGCCTCAGCTCCTCTATTAGTGGAGCCAGCTCCTTCTCCAGACTCATGATGAGGCCTGAGGAGACACACGGAGGAGAGCTGCGGTTACTTCACTGCTCGACAAATAAAACATGTGAATACTGTGATCGCTCTTTTTACACCAGACCGCCTGCATGAGACATTAAATCTGTACTCTGCAGCAGTAACTGGGACTCCGTCTCTTCACTGAAGTGGTAAACTTCCTCACATCCATCTAGCTCAACAGGCAACACACATGTGAATATTGATCCCACTCTGGAGAGATGTAATTCTCGTGCATATTTTGGTCCAGCTTCATCCTTTGTACTTAAATAAAAAGTAGTGTTTGGATCCTCGACGATGTGCATCCTACTGGATCACTGCCTTGTCTGGAGTCAAAGACGTAAACTACCAGTCAAATGTTTGGACACGGCTGATTTAAGTGCACGTTATTATCTTGAAGACATTTTGATCTAAAGGCTTATGCTTAAATGTTTGACATGTGCTTCTTATATAAATAGAAATAGTGAAGTTGATGCATTTCTTTCCAAAACAAAAATGAATTGTTTTATTTTCTGTGTTTTAACTATTATTCTAAAATGTGGAAAATAGTAAAAATAAAGAAACACCTTTTTATTAGTAGGTGTGCCCTCTCCACAGCGTACAGTAGCTATCTTATAATCATATAGCAAACTGTATTATTGCTGTGTGTCCAAACATTTGACTCATAGGGTATGTTTCATATTTTTATTGCATTCTCAAAGAATAAAATCAGTAAAGCTGTCAGATCAGATCGATGAAACAAATACGATTCAAAGACGGATCTCATCCTGTCTGCATGACTCAAACACATCGTTCACTGTGAATCTTTGCTGTGGGAAATGTAAACAAAGTATTTTCCTGCAGCAAGATGTTAGCACTGTTATCGCCAATTTTATGTGTGTTACAGTGTGTGTATGTGTGTGTGTGTGTGTGTGTGTGTGTGTGTGTGTGTGTGTGTGGTAAGTTATGTAAATATTTTCCGCTGCTACGTCACCTGTGCACCTGGGCCTATGTGGTGATTCCAGCCACAGGTCTGGAGAAAAGGGAGACACAGCTCACCTGTGGCAGGGACTCAGGGGAAGCCACACAGTTTTCCAACCGTGAGTGTGTGTGAAGGTGTTGATTAGTGTGTGTTTATGTTCACGAGCTCGTTTCGTCTAATGCAGCATACACTCGTCTTTTTGTTGGTGTTTTTCCAAGATTAAATGTAATCAACGGCGGACTTTCCTTTTCTCCCACCATGAGTTAGAAACGAGCTCAGATTCCCTCCAGTGGCACTTGTTGTTCTTAGATTGCCACTACGAGTGCCTACATCTGACAGCGACCCAGAGGGAGTGGTTCTACACGTTTGATCTGTTTTTATTGTGTTTTGTTTCTTAATACTACTGGACTAAAGTTTCACAGTATCATATTAAATAAACTGAAATGATCAGTCTCAACTCTGATGGTCTGGGGGTTTCCTGAGCCTGGAACCAATGCTTTAAAAAATAATGATGAAAGAAATCTGACATCAAGTATAGGGATCTGAAATCCAACAAACTGTTTCATCTCTGGATTTACTGCAGTCAGAGTGTTGATGAGTCATTAAAGCAGTTTCTTTCTTTTTGTGTTTTCTTGTGTGTGACTTTGAGAGAAACATGAACCACAGTGCTTACAGAGACTGAAACAGATTTGAACAATCACAAGAACAGATTTTCTTCTTTTTTTTTACCTGTGTTGGCGTTGCTGCTTGCAATGAAGCTGATGACCAAAGGTAACCGGTTAAACTGCACAATCTGTTCAGCAAGAGGAAGCAAAAAAAAAGCAAAAACCGTAAGTGACATCATTGGAAACATTCAGCGGAGAGACGGTTTCAGGAGAGCCAGCGAGAGAGTGTGTGTGTGTGTGTGTGTGTGTGTGTGTGTGTGTGTGTGTGTGTGTGTGTGTGTGTGTGTGTGTGTGTGTGTGTGTGTGTGTGTGTGTGTGTGTGTGTGTGTGTGTGTGTGTGTGTAGCTACCAAAATGCAATGTGTATTCACATACTGGGACACCAATATTACACCAAATGGATATGAATATACAAAGGCGTGATGGCGGCTGAGCTCAGTAACGGCACTTTTACAAAAAAAAAGCAGTGTGAAAAGGGCTTTTAGATGCTACATGACATCAGAGATATTTCTGAGTGGAGATAAAAGCTTGAACAACCACCTTTTTTTTTGTCTTTCAGCTCAGAAATAATATAAAATCATGAAACGCTCGGTGCATTTTAAAGGCGGTTGAAACGACATCCTAACAAAAGCTAACACGGGATCATTCTAGTGCAGCTGGTGTCAGACCTGGTAGGTGTTGTAGTAGCAGATGATGCTCTTGTTCTTGGAGAGGCCCAGCTTGCTGCCCTGATCTGTGGCCAAAGCAAAAGTGGACAAGAAGCCCGGTCTCAGAGCGTGGACGGGGGCGTTGTCATTGGCGACTGCGGGGGAAGCAGAAGCAGAAGCAACGTTAACAAGATGAACAGATCTACAGAGGGTGAATTTCTGCTGCTTCTCCATGCTGCCTGCATCATTCATTTAAAAAATGTGTATTCATGATGTCATTTATTTGCTTCTACTGATCTTTATGGCGAGCAAACCAGTGCCCCGTTAACCACACAGTCCACACAGTTTTCACATGATAGACTCGAGAATAAATGCTTATTTTCCCCTGAACATGTATTGCATTATAATACATTTTACATGTGTTTCAAGGAAAATAAAGTGTGATCAAAGACTGATTGTCCCTGTTATTAATAACTATATAATAGCTATCAGCATAATTGCACCATCTTTCCCTGTGTCCATTTGATGCAGCGCTCATGTGAAGTGTAGTTTTTTGTTGTTGTCTATGAATAAAAATGAAAGGATTATAATGTAGTTTCTTACCTTTAATAACCGGGACACCATCTCTGTCTGTCACTACAATCGCATGAAGACCTTCAACACTGTACGAGAAGAAAAGAGAAGAGACAGCAGATATTTCCAGTGATTCATCAGCACATGAAGGTGACATGTAAACACAGTACACCAGTAAACCAATCAATCATGCACACCTCTGCAGCTGCTTGTACAGGTATCGCTTCAGATCCTGCAAAAGAAAATATGAAGGAATAAGTAAAATACGACACATTTATACAAGACTGTCACAGACAAAGTCATCTTAAACCTTACATACTGTTCATATTTGATGCCTTCACGGTATGGTCAATTTTGATCCAGACCAGACATTCCCTCAATACAAGTGTCTATAAAATGTGTACTACAGATTGAGTCACAATGGGAAAAGTCACACAATTGAAGGCTAAATTTAGGGTGCGTTTTTCCTGCTGTCAAAGTTCACTGACTGTATTTAAGAGTGAAGTGAGTGACAGTCAGGTGTCAGTATCTCATCAGTGTGTGGATACATGTTTTTAAATCTGTCAGCTTTCCCTCAGCCGGATTTTGCCGAATTATTACACATACCACACTTCATCATTTACACTTCTTTGTTTTTTTTAAAAAGACCACAAAATACTTGTTTTCCATCGATTTGTCAGAAAATGCACAGGACTTTGGTATGAGTGGATTAAGAGTGACAGACAAACAGGCCATACTCACATCAGCCATGACAGCCACTTTATTCTCGTCTTGTGTAGACGGCTTGGCAACTGTGGAGAGAAAGTTAGCGATGTTAAACATCCTCAGCTACTTAGATTGTATTTAAATATGACAGCGGACTTTTAACAGCATGCTAACCTGAAAGCTAATCAGCAAGCTAACAGGCGATATCCAGCTATCAATTACTTCCGTCAAATAAAACAATCAACCTTTCCAGCTTTTACTGCTACCATCGACACGTTACATTTATAATAAGTCAAGATGAAAACAGTTAAAAGTATCCACATACCTTCTTGGAGCTTTATTTAAATCGACTTTACACCTAACAGCTACATACTAAGGGCAGAAATCACATGACAAAGTTGTTTTGTTTCCGGCTCTTGAAGATGCGTTCAGCACAATCTGTAAATCACATATTTACTTCACAGCGCCGATGACGCAGCAAAAAAACAGATGAATATAAACTGTTTTATTGGCCTTATGTTTATGTAAAGTGAGTGTAAGATATACCCCCGTGTTTATATAAAATATATACACTGCGTTTGACTGATATGAGAACATTTGTTTTATATTTATGATTTTTCCGATGCTTCTAAACACAGCATTCGTAAGAATGTGTTGCTGCATTCAAATGGTCCTCGGAAATTTTAAACTTCAACGGCGGCTTTTTCATTCATTTTAAAGCGTAATGTGAAAACTAAACGAAGCGCTACTAAACATATGTGTTATATTTCAGTTTATAGAGTTAAATGTACCTCTGTTATTATCAGTGGTTTATATGTCAATAGGTTGTTAATAGTCATATCTGGCCCAGCTACTTCTTACCGTTGTGAAGTAACACATAGAGGCCTAGGCTTGAATAGACATCTTATCAAATCAAAATAGCTCCGAATATATTGTTGGAAATTACAGTTTTGCCTAGACTTAGTCGACTAACTTTATAAATCCATTAAAGCAACTTCGTATCAATTATATTTCTTTATAAGCAAAGATTGTGAAACTCATGCACCAGAGTGGAATCTGGAATTCAAAGTCACTCACTCCAGCCTCATTGTTTATTAAAGAGAAACATAAGGTACAGACAGCAGGCTAATACTGCAGTTCTACTTTCATAGTGGGCAGTTGTCATATCCCTGAGAGGAGGTCTAAATATAACGAGTTATTAATAGAAGATCCTAACAGACTGGGCTTCACTCTTCCTCTGCCCTGAAAACACCACACAACTCTGTGAAGAGGGAGACAGCTTTCTACTGTCCGCCTGTGTGCTTTACACCTTAACAGGTGAGTTTACTGAGCAGGGGATTTGTATTTAAGGATATTAATACTTCAACTCATTTTATTGTTAATCCGTGGATATCAAACTGGGGTATGGGGGACTGAAACATCAATAGACCCTTTTCACTGCTAAAATTTTCATTTGTGACCAAAGAAACAATATGTATAACTAAATCTGGACTGATAACATTGATATAAACTCATTAAGGTCATACACTGCTGTTTCTCCTGCTGGGACTCTCCATGTCAGCTGAGGAAAAGGTCCAACAACCTGATGTGATAAAGCTGGTGAAGCTAAACGAACATGAACACTTCTTTAATGAGAAGATTAAGAACTATATTTAAATAGATCATGAAAGATGATGGTACGGAAGCCCTGAGCGGACATACATCCATACATTTGGTTTTCTCTGTTTCCTTTGGTAACAAGCAATTACCTATTGACCGATTGTTTTCTAATTTCCAGTCTGTTGGACTTGAGGTAAAACATGTAGAAGTGGGTCACAGGAACATAGCACTGACTCAAATATGTAACATTTAGTGAGTCAGTAAGCAGATTAACTCAGAGGTGTTTGCTCAGGCCTCTGTTTTTCTCTCCACACTGACAGAGTGACACACGTTCTGTTTCTGCTTAACAGTTGTGTTGTATGAATGTTATTTTTTATTGACTGTGTTTTTTGTCTGACTAGCATGGGGGACATCCAGCAGTTTGAGCAGGATTTCTACCAGACGAGGTATTACATCGATGACCAGGGTCAAACTGTGGCTTACTACGATGACTACAGTTCTACAAGCCCCGCTTATTACGACAAGTGAGTACTCACATTGACTACCAATGTCCTTTATTATTTCTCTCATGTTTCATTTAAACGTCATATAAAGTCATATAAACATCTAAAGTCAGTTAAATAGAATACTCTGTTACAGAAACACCCTGAAGATAGCTTAGTTGGCTCTTGTGTCAATCCATAATGACATAAGGATGCACCACCTGCAAGAATCTTTCAATATGACACATTCTGATTACATTTACTGCAATACTGTAAAAATGCAAAAACTACTTGAAGCTTAAGAAAATAAGTTTAATTTTGTGTACATTAAGGACAGTTTCTGTTTATCACAGTCTCACATCCAACAGCAAAGCATAATACTTTGTCTGTACTGTCTGAAAAAAGGAAACTTAAGTATGCCCATGTTACCAAAAAACAAAAGTGCATGTGAACCTTGAATCAAAAGCTGAAGGCTGTTTTAAAAAAACTGATTCAGTTATAAACAACATAATGTCACAAAACTAAGCAGCAACCTCCAATGCTTTGAAAAACTTGTACGAAAAAACCCTAAATTTCCTCAAGTTTCCTCTAGAGACTGGCTCTGTAAACCCTAGAAGTCCCTTAAACAATCATATTAAAATGTCTATTTTTACTCATGAAATAAACATGTCTGCAGCCTGGTTTAAAAAAAAAAAAAAAACAGTTTTGGTCTCTAGAGCTAATTTCTTTGTTCACACACACTGTGTAAAGGCGGGTGAATTTATTTTATAACTCATCCATTTAGATTATATCACGGCTAAGTGTGATGCCTAAATTTGTAGGATTAGGGGTGTGGCCAGTCTAACTCCTTGTATGTTAGAGTATGTTAATCGATAGATAGGAATTTATAATATGGTGACCGCCATCGATGAGCATCAAATCTCAATTTGTAATTTATGATGTCACTGAGACCTACGTCCATGTTTCTATGTACACAAGTCAAGTGTTTCCATATTTTCCTACAGCCCTGTATGCATGTGTGCAGACAGCTGACATGATGCACAGTTCAGCTAATGGTTTAAACAAGGTAACACAAGATGTGTTCGTCAGGTTTAACATGAATATGTTTTCCTTTGTGTTGTTTCAGCGGAGCACAGACCTTCACACCTGATGCTCTGGATCCGTCCATGCAGCAGGAGTACCCCGGACAGTTCTACCAACCTGCCATGCCGTCTGGGGCTGTGCACACAGGGATAGATTCTCCAGAAGAGGAACCTCCCCTTCTGGAGGGTAAACCGGGATTTCATTTCTCATATTTCTACATTCTTGATGATTTAAATAGTTTCTGTCCATACAGAGGTCAGGTCTGTTGGCAGCAAGTGAAGAAGTTATGTTATGATCGCAAGGGTTCAGATTATTTCAAAAAAGCTAGTTTAGCTCGAGTGCTTTACAGTGTGCTGTGGTTCAATGGTAGAGTGGGTTGTCTCTCAACTGGAAGTTTGGGGTTGGATCCCCAGCTCCTGCAGCCACATGTCCGATCAGTGATGGTTGACATGCGTTTGTCCACCTTTATGTTTATGGAGAAAACCAGTTAGTAAACAAAAACAAATTTGGGGTTCCTTTGTGTCTATATATTTATATATTTAGGCGACACAGTTTTAACCTCCTTAGCTCAATTTAAACATCTGACTCCTTAATAAAAATGGCATTCCATGGCGGGAAAAATGTTGCTGTTAAAAACCCATTATGAAGTGTAATTCCCATCAATCCCAGTTGATCACAGAGAGCAACATGCCTGTATTTGAACTTCAAAATTTTTTAAAGCCAGATCACCCTGGTTCTTTACTCACCTGCATGCAAACACACTTTCCAAAGATCACATTTTAATTCCTTGATTCCTTTGTTTTATTGCCTTTTTCTCCCGGTGTAGAACTCGGCATCAACTTCGATCACATCTGGCAGAAGACGCTGACAGTGTTGAACCCTTTTAAGCCTGCAGATGGCAGCATCATGAACGAGACCGATCTGACAGGTCCCATCCTCTTCTGCATTGCACTTGGGGTCACTTTAATGATGGTAAGCCTTTAATACTATCAGTTTAAACAGAGTGAATGACCATATACCTAGGTGTGTCTATCTGTCATTTGAAGGCAGGTAAAGCCCACTTTGGTTATGTGTATGGGACCAGTGCTACAGGCTGTACTGGGATGTACATTCTGCTCAGTCTCATGAGTTCCTTGGCTGTGTCCTATGGCTGTGTGGCGAGTGTCCTGGGTTACTGCCTGCTGCCCATGGTGGCCCTCTCTGCATTTGCTGTCTTCTGCTCTTTACAGTAAGCCCACTCTTTGACCTTTTATTTCTGTTTTTATATGTTCAAAATGTAAACGTAAATGGCATAAAAGTTGGCATCAGTCCTTTTGGAAATAAAATGTTTACATATTTATCTTTATTGAAGTCTCAAAGCATTGATTGAAACAGGAGCAGAATAGATACTGGCTTGCTCACTGTATGTCGGGTAATTTTCAATTATACGAGGTGTGCTGTAGTGTGGACGAATTCCAAACAAAAAAAAGAAAAAAAAGAAAAGGGGACCAGCTTACCTCCTTTTAAGTTATCTTGTAGTTCTCATCTTTAGCTTTCTACCACCTTTAGCATTGCTCACAGGTTAGCTGTGGTTCTTCGGTGTTTCATGTCAAAATGTATAATTTTATCTACATATTTGTGTACCTTTGTTTTACATAACAAGACCTTTTTTTAGTATATTTGTAACTATTCATACATATGATTCAATGCCAATTTATTTTGGGATAATATTTGCATAACTCAGTTATTGTGAATAAGGAACGTTTTCTTGCTTTTCAAGCTAATGCTAGCTGATCATTTAGTAGAATACTGCCCACTGCTCTCCAGCTCCAACCTCTCATGTCAATATGGTCAATGTCAATATAGTACTTCTGACTTGAAAAACAAGATGAACTCAGCGATAATTCCAGATTTGAGTGCGCTGCCAGCAGAACAACACGTATTCGGTGTGCTGAAGTAGTGCTAAAATGAAAGGTGCTTGCTAGCAGAAATGTTAAGCTCTGTGAATTTGTCCAATAACCTATAACATACATTTACCCAGACGTTGTTTTTTTAGCTTGGTTTTTCTTAAAATCAGAGAAATTACGTGGAGCAAATAGACCCGTCTGCTAATGTATAGCCTAGCTTCTGTGGTTTTCTCAGTAGAGGAAGTGAGCTGTCCATCATCTCTGGTGGCTAATATACTTATTATTGACAAGCTCCTCATACAACCCCACTTCAAAAAATACCAAACTATCCCTTTAAGGATCAGCCAACAAGCTTATCAGCGTCTGATTTATTTTGGAGTAACAACATTCAGGACCATCTGGTATCAGTCTAGACTTCTTGCAGAGATCCCCTCTGGTTGACTTTTACTGATACAGCTCTCGTTTTGTCTCCACAGAGGTTTCCTGGGAACAGTTCTGGCCTTGTTGGGGATTTGTTGGTGTAGTTTTTCAGCCTCAAAGATCTTCAGCTCCACCCTGGCTATGGAGGGTCAGCAGCTGTTGGTGGCGTATCCCTGCGCCCTGCTCTACGGGCTCTTTGCATTGCTCACTGTATTTTAATTTTCACTACAGGAAAACCTTTGTCATTCATGAATCTATCTTTTCATTTATCTCTACTAATTTTACCAACACAAATACAGCAATGATTGTATTTAATCCCTGTCAATTATCAGTGTCAGTAAAGAATCCAAGGGGGTTTAGAGATTTGATGAATGATTGTATTTCATTTTTCTAGTACAGAAAACAGAAAATACAATCTTTATTTTTGTACACAGTTCTTACTTTATGGTTTGATTTCATCGTTGTTTTTTTGATCATTTCATATTCAAGCAGAGTTTTTATGAATAAAGATTTCTGTAATACTTTCAAGCAGTTGAGGGTAAAGATCTTTTATCTATTTTGTTTTCTGTTTGGTGAGTAATCAATGTTGCCTCTGATTTCATCCAGACCTTTACGGTAAGAAATGACACTACAGCTGCCATTAAGACATTCCCTCTAGATGCAGTAGAGGGAGCCAAAACACCACCGTTCTTACATTTATTAACTATTCTCATTGGCTGAGTAAGGACACATTTTTCTGCAGTCAAACATGATTAATTGTAACTGAGGATATCAATGTAGAGACTCATAAAGTTGTTTTAATTTGGTAAACTTAAGTCACTTCAATCCCATTAGTTTGTCACTTTGTGTGCTGCAGAAACAAGGATGTACTGTTCTTGCTGTCGTCCTGTTCTAAGCATTAAGTATGATGAAGTAGAACAAGCCCTGTAAGTGAACATGAAGATAGTCCACAGAGTTGTGGAGCATTCAGAGGAGGAAAAGGAACATATTTTTCACACAGCTTTGATGATGTATGGGGGTCTGAGCAGAGTCTGACAACTGCAGAGTCAGTAATGTTCTGCAGACAACTTGTTTTAAGAGCGAGGGGAGCAGGCAGGGGAGGAGGAGGGAGGCAAGGATGTCGACACAACTCACCGTGATATTAACAACAGGTAACATCTAAGGGTTTCGTTCCAATCAGTCAGGTGGGTCCGGTCCCTCAGGTGCTGCACGAGCTGACAGGGTCGACCTCTGAGAGACTGAATACCAAAGCCATGATCTCGCTGAGCTCTGTTTCTCTGCTCTGTGTTAGAGACTGATGGTGGCACCAAAACAACAAGAGACAAATTCCAACACGTACAGTTTTCAATTTGGAGAAAAAGTGCCTGGGAACGTTGTTGCTAAATCCAAACATTGCACATTCAAAAACACAAGCTTAAGTCAGAAAAAAAAGAAACAAACAAAATTTACAAGTTTTGGGGCCTCCTCATGTACGGAGGCTATTGTCCTCCAAGCGGGTGGCCCGGGTTCAAAATCCAACCTGTGTCTCCTTTCCCGCATGTCATTCTCAACTCTCTCTCTCTCCGCCTTTTCTGACTGTCTCCCCTGTCTGATCTCTAAAGATAAAGGCATAAAAGCCCAAAATAAACCTTTAAAAAGCTGCATTTTAAAGTTTCAACCCATAAATATGAAAGGGTTATCTTGTGAATCCAAGAACACCAGAAAGTTCCTTAATCACCTCTGTGTGATGTCGCACTAAGGTAACATCTTGGGCTAAAGAAAAGGTTGGGTATTCGGCCTTCCCAATGAGTGTGTTAACTGTGATTGCTATGATATGCTGATGACATTGTAATCTTTCTTTCTGATTCAAACCCTGATGCCATCATCTCAGAAGCAACTTCACTACCTAAAGGACTGTTTGAAATCTTACCATCTAATCTTATCACACAAACAAAAACGTGACGCAAAGCTGCTGAGCAGGCCAACATCACTGTTGGCATCTTGTTGGATTCTCTGTCACTGTGTGTAGATATTGCCTTCTTCCTCATTCACATCAAACAATAGAGACATATCAGGTTGCAGTTGTAGTTCATCTCTACATATAACATGCAGACATATTAATCCATGTTTATATTTGACTTTTCAGAGTTTCATCAGTGTCAAGTCTTTTAAGACCTGTTAGAAACTCTGTCTCTAACACTCTAACATAAACTTCCATCAAATACCTGACATAGTATCGATGTATTTAAAGGCAGAATGTTTGACATTTTACACATAAAAACAGCAGAAATCAAGTTTATTCTGTGTAAATGTCTCTGAGTCATGACTGTCAATGAGTGAGAAACTCGAGCCCCACTGGCTGTGTTGTTGTCAGAGCCGTGTTTACATGAACGGGACGTCGTTGTGTATAAAAGCTGTTTTAGTCAAGGACTAGAGAAGAAGAAGAAAATACTCACTGATTATTTGGATGTCACGTCGGCTCGAGCTGGGGCGGACTGGTAGTGTCGGTGCTCTCACTGTTTGCCTATGGACACAGACATAGAGTCTGTTTTCTGCCAGGAATTTCCAAGATCAATTCTGTAAGAAATCTCTGAATCAGTTGAGGAAATGGCCTTATGTGTTGAAGTAAATATGTCTGTAAATGTTTTTATTACTATATTTCTACTGCTATACTGTATATTTTGGAGAAACTGTAATGATCAAATTTCCCTCTGGGATTGATAAAGTATTTCTGATTCAGATTCTGAAATAGAGGACCTTAGTGGGAGTGGCCTGCGGTGCTGTGCATTCTGGGATTTGGTGTCTTTCATCCACATGAGCCAAAAAGACACTTTCTGCCTTTTCTCAGACAAGAAGGCACCAACTTGTATTTCACATTTCTACTACATATATGACCCAATGTCAATACAGATTCATGTTTCAACGGGTGAAGTATCCCTTTAATTATGGTGCGTTCTAATTGATAACTCCTTTGTGCGAGTGGAGAGGGGTTGGAGGTGTGTCGCTGGAGGAGAGCAGAGGCTTAAGAATAGAGGAGGTGTGGCCAAACAGCAGTTTGTTTTGGTTTCATGCTAATGCTCAAGGGCGACATCTACTGGATCAAAAAGTTGCACATTCTTCCTTTTTGATAAATTGTTGTGTGCAGCTCCTTCTATCTCCTCTCCAGAGGTGTGTGTTGCTGCAGTGCTGTGTAGCTTGAACCTGAGGTTAACTCCAGGTTACAGCATGAAACTATTAACCCTGACATCTTGATATGTAAAACTACGATCTTCTCACACATTCTTACCACATTTTCATCACCCTATCTAATTGTGTTGCCGTATACGCTGATGTTGTGGCCGTGGTTTCACCATCTTGTCTAACATCAGCTGTGATGTAAGGCCAAGTCTGCTCGTGTCACAGGGGAGCAAAGGCAGTGTAGCGGCCCCTTGAGCTGGGCCTGTGGGCGGATATCACAATGAAGGCTTTGCATGGTTATTTCTTTCCAAAGATTCAGAGAATTATAACATGTCACCATACAAACACAGGCACTGTTTGCTCATTAGAAACTTACAATATGCACAATTAAGTAATAATAATAATAATAATAACTTTATTTATATAGCACCTTTTAAAAACACAGGTTTACAAAGTGCTTTGACAAACAGCAAGAACAAAGCAAACTAAACCAAACACAGAAAAACATTAACAACAGTAAGAATATAACAGATGCAAAATACCAAAAATAATTAAAAACAATTCAACAGAAAAGAACCCAAAGTGCACGATACACAACCAGACATATATAACCCAACCATCATAAGAACCCAGGAACACAAGAACCCAACAACATGAGCTGAGACCAAGAGGACCAAAGATTTAAAAAGATGTAAGAAACTAAGAGATAAAAGCAAATACAAAGCAATGAGAAGGTAAGCGCAGTAAAAGAAATAAAAACAAGTGGTTAAAGGATCAAAAAACCCAAAACTATAATATTAATAGAAATAAAAATTAACTATAAATACGAAACATAAATAGACAAAGTAAGTAAGATAAGAAATTACCAAGTTAAAACACAAGAGGAGATTAAGATATAATCTAAATATAGCATAAATACGAGATAAGACCATAAATAAAAGACAGTAAGAAGTAGAAGAAGATAAAAATAGTAAAACCAGTCAGAGAAGACATTAAGAAGATGACATCACATAAAAGCAAGTCTGTAAAAGTATGTTTTAAGAAGGGATTTAAAAGAATTGAGGGAGTCTGCGAGTCTTATCTCCTCAGGGAGGTCGTTCCAAAGTCGAGGGGCCCTGACTGAAAAGGCCCGGTCACCTTTAGTTTTAAGTCTCGACTTTGGAACGACCAGGAGGCTCCCACCCGAGGATCTAAGACTGCGGGCTGGCTCATATGGTGTCAGTAACTCTGTTATATAGCTTGGAGCCAGCCCCGTCCGTGCTTTAAAAGTAATGAGTAAAATCTTAAAATCGATTCTAGAACGTACAGGAAGCCAGTGTAATGAAGCTAAAATTGGAGTGATGTGATGTCGTCTGTTACAACCAGTAAGAAGCCTAGCTGCTGCATTTTGGACCAGCTGGAGGCGAGACAGTGACTTATTTGTGATTCCGGAAAAGAGGGAGTTACAGTAGTCAAGTCGGGAGAAGATGAGGGCGTGGATGATCTTTTCAAGGTCTCGTTGGGTTAGGATTGTTTTAATTTTGGAGATGGTGCGTAGATGGAAGAAGCTTGATCGGACAACTGTTTTGATATGGGATTCAAAGGTGAGATTGCAATCGAATGTTACTCCTAGATTTCTGGCGTGGGTTGGACATTGGTGAATAAGGGACCGAGGCTGCTCTTTGAGATATGAGTGGTGTTTGGCGGATTGAATACTATGATTTCAGATTTAGAATTGTTCAGTTGGAGAAAGTTTTGCGCCATCCAGCAGTTGATATCGCTTAGGCAGTTTCTGACAGCAGCTAGGCTCCTAGGGTCCTCAGGTCTCAAAGGAAGGTATATCTGTGTGTCGTCTGCGTAGCAGTGAAAGGAGACATTGTGGCGTTCAATTATTTGGCCAAGAGGCAGCATATAAATGGAGAATAAAATGGGACCTAAAACCGAACCTTGCGGTACACCACAGGTAATGTTAGAGGTAGAGGAGGAGTAGTTACCGATGGTGACCGCGAAGGTTCTTTCTAAAAGATAAGAGTAAAACCAGCTAAGTGCAGTATCCTTTAAACCAACCCAATGTCTGAGACGATCAGTTAAAATTGTGTGATCAACAGTATCAAAAGCTGCGCTAAGATCTAAAAGAATTAAAATTGTGCCCTCCCCTCTATCTGTTGCTAAAAGAAGGTCATTGGTTACCTTGAGGAGGGCAGTCTCTGTGCTGTGGCAAGCTCTAAAACCGGATTGAAATTTCTCAAAGAGGTTATTTTCAGTCATAAAAGATAAAAGTTGTGTTGAAACCACCTTTTCTAAAACTTTTGATAAAAATGGAAGTTTTGAGATTGGTCTAAAATTGTTAAAA